AAATGCTTCTTTAAATGAAGTATGATCTCCTATTGTTTCAACTCCCGTTTTGTTAAGATCCTCAAGTATGTTAATTTATTCATACTAGAATAATAGGTAGAGCATATTTTCCTGCCAAGATCGAGTGTGTTGTACATATAGATAGGTTTGAGGCGTAATTTGGTAGACACCGAAACTAATTTATTTAACAAAGGACCGGTCGAACGATAGAGCACTTTTTATACGTGTACAAACACATTACATTCTATACGTAGATACACTTCACGTAATTACAGATTTTGTTTACGTACTCTTATCCACTAGAGATTAAGGCTATATTCCATTGATTGCAATCGTAAGTAATACCTTTTTTTTTCAGTTTTTGAAACAAGAGTTAATTATGATTGTAATTAACAAAGGAAGAATGAGGACCTCATCAAATTCGTTCGACAAATTGACCTATATTTGTATCTAAACAAAACAACAAATAAGTAAACATAAGGACATTTATTTTGAACTATATTTTTTATTATTTAGTCACTGAAGCATTCTGGGAATTGTGATAATTAAAAATGACCGGAAATTAAAAATTCCTTCAAACTCGACAGGACCGACTTTAGGCTAGAGGCAAAAAATCTTTGTTAAAGTGACCACCGTATGACGTATATTATTTGGGTCTCAAAAATATTACGATACCATATTTGGAATGAAACAGTTAATATCGTAAACATGATATTGATCATGTCATACCAAAATCGACAATTGGAAAGAGAGAAAAATCAATTTCTGTACTGGTAGAATGTTACTAAACATGAAAGTGCTTTGGTTTTTTCTGTAAGTTTATAGTATTTTTGACCAACAAATATTTAAAGTCGAAAAGCACGGAACATAGACTCACTTACCAAAAATCTCACACGGGACGAAAGCTGTGAAAAAGTCAAATGAGCTTAAGAGTGCGTAGAAAAAGCTGAGGAAATGAGTCATGAGCGAGCGGTCAGACGGTAACAAGCGAAACGCTCCGCTGCTTGCCATCCGGCGCGAGGAAATGCACCTGCTGTGACTCTTTGACTACCCGCAGGAATGTAACCCTTTTCACCTGACTGCAGAAAGGAGGATCATGTTTATGGAACGCTTAACATATCATGTTCAGCTTAAGAAGAATTAGGTCACTATAATGACGACTGGATTGATGACTGGTTTGTGATTGGTGAGATAGTATAATAAGTATTATTGCAAAGAAATCGCCCTAGAAACAGCACTATTACCCTCGAGAATCGAATTGAGCGACTATTAATTGGAAGTTGCGGCTCTATCCTCAATGTTTCACAATCTGTTCCCTCTGAAGACTATTAATTAATTAAATCTCGGTCGTCCATCTGATCTAAAGGCTATTCCCAAGTTGCATTTGATAAGTCTCGACTTCATCTATAATCTATAGTAACTAGGAAAGTATCAAGGAACTTATACATTATCTGAGTTTCATAATCGTAAACTACTTTTTTAAACTCTAAGGCTGAGTTGCACCATCTTACTTTAACTTTGACAAACGTCAAAATCTGTTAAGCTCCATACATCAAGCACCGGTTATTGTTATTATTACGGTTTAAATAAGGTGGAGCAATGCAACTCAGCCTAAGAATTCTAGAAATTTCTATGATCTGGAGTGGCTCTTAAACCTTTTTTCAGTGGCATACCTAAAAGGCTTTGATTGACAATAAATTGGTATTCGAATGACCATTCACCACATACTTACAAATTATAGCAAGGAAGCTGATAAAAAGAGCAAGAATAAGGAATGCAATCTAAAAAATGAATTCTAAAGCTTCGTCCTTATTTCGAGTTCCCGTCCCGAAAGACGGGAGGGTAGAAAAAGATCGACGCTAAAAAGAATAACACCGTGAGTCTATTACTTGTGCGGCGTGTCATCGGCAGTTCATTAAAATACGATGACTTAACACAAACACTAGAGTGGACTTCATTGATAGCCTCCGACGTAGGTTGGTTGCACAAAAAACACAGCGGACATCCAAAAGAATTACAACCTTACAGCTAAGAAATAAAGATGATCAGTTCCAATGATGAACTCGCTGCTTCGTTTCGGAATGAAAGATCGTTTACAATAGCGTTTCATTCCGTGGAATCCATTGATAAGTCCGCTGCTACTAGTGTTACATGGCTGCTCTCACGAGCGTTGGGAAAGTCAATTACTTCCAAATATCACAGCCAGATTGGAAACCGAAAGTTGCATGGCTGTACAAAATGTTTTATGGGACTTGTACTTCAAATTCAGTATACTCACATGATTAGATTTTAGCCTATTATGAAGCAAATGTGTAATTAGTAATTTTAATTTCATAGTTCTTTAATATTCAGGTTTATTTGAACTCAGACTTCAAATAACATTTTGTTGCAAAAACACATCTATAACAACTAGGGAAACCACAATATCTAGCTTGATGTGATATCGCTTTTACCGCAGCATTAATAAAAAAAACAAGATATTTTCGATCTAAATCCTATTTGACATAGGACAGTAATAACTTTTATAAAGCTCCGACAGACGCACAAAAAATATTCTTGAAAAAAATCGCGTACCTAATGAAACGTTAACCATTTTAATAGCAGTCTAGATATAAAAATCACAAAAAAGTCACCTAATGGTCTGGAAAGTCTAAAATTGAGACTTTTCGTCGTTAAACTTCGTAAAAAGTCGCTAAGCACTAAAAAAGAAAGTTGAATAACTATTTGCTTTCCAATACCGTGAGAAAACAATCATTTTTAAAGTAGTTGTACCTAAGTAGCTGACAGAGCATAAGGGGCAAAAAACAGTAAGCCAAAATAATACAGTTACGAGTTATTGTGCCGTGGAAATTACCAATTCAATGCAAAATTGAATGCTATGAAGGCTCTTTGTGGGGTCGATTTTGTTTGGAATAAATTAATTAAGGCAATTTGTGACGATTTTCCATCGTCAGTGGCAGGCGAGACCGTACAAATTACAATTTCGTTGCTTACCCAGTAATTCTAGCTTCTTCGAATATTTAGCTAGAATTTCTGGCGTTGCATTTTAGACGGATAGCAAGCCTTTCGTCATTGCTAATATTAACGGAACTGGACTAATTGCAGTATTTTGAAGATTAATTATTCTACGGTACTTGTTTTAAATGTAAATTATGGTAGATATTTATGTCAAGTTAAAGATTTTACAATGAATAAAGGGCAGAAGTATCTACCGGTTTTGGCCATCTTTATTCTTTACGCCGTTATTGGCCGCTTTTTATTTTAAATAATATGTAAAGCATTATGAAATTACAAGTAGTATCTTTATTATTAATCTCCAGTTTTAACTATTTGAATCATTAATAAGTCAACCATAATTGATCCAAAAAGGTACAATGGATACCCACAAAGGGGTTCTTTACCCATACCTATGCTCTTAATTATTATTAGACTCAAAAATACTCGTAGAATGGCTTAGCTCTGTAGTCGGAATCTCGTAGCACTAGCAGCTTTTGCGCTCCGTAGCACCGAGCTACGGATGCTACGCGCATACGAGTAGCTCTGTAAATCTACATCAGACTGTAGCCAGTGAATTGTTCTGGAATATTTTAATGAAGATAATTAGGCTTTTTAAACTGACTGAAAGATAATATAATCATAGTTAACATAATATTAGCTACAGTACCTAATTTGCAAAATTCCTCAATAGACCGAAGACTTCAAGAAGAGCTGGAAAGAGCTGGCTGGAAAAGGGTCCTTGGGCTTTTTTATGTCCAGCAGTGGTTTATAATTATGATGATGATGATAATAATAATTATAAATAGCTGAAATTAACTAACAATTTTACAAAATAAAATGTAGCTTATTGTAGCAACTTTTTCCAGATTTAGAGTTTGTAAATGTTTCCGCAACTAAAAGTATCAGAAGGCTTTACAAAATAGGTACTTCTGCTAAAAACAAAATCCAAAGTTTTATTGTCGATAGGAATCCCAATAAATTCTGTTGGGTTTCTTATCAACAACTTTTAAGGAAAATTTAATTGGCCAAGTCTTTGAAAGGTTTACTTTGTTAAGGATTTTTGAGCAACTTGGGGCATTAAGTTAAGTTGTTTATATTTAAGTAGTTATATTTATTTATTTAATTGAAGCGTCAATAGGTAGAACGGATAAGTAATATGTATACCTTAATGTGATATTAACAAAATAAACAATTTGGTATAGTAGATCTTGATAAGTTTAATATCATGTACTTTTATTAACTAGTAAATATTTAATTAGCTATTTATTCGTATCAATTTGAATTTTAAATTGTAATTCATACAAAATGTTTCATTGAGAGGTTTTAATCATGACATCAAAATGTATGAATAACTTACCAAAAATACAACGATTAATTGCACCCAAACAATCTGTATCAAAAAGAATCAAGTCGACCAAAAATCGAAACCGGCTTGGTTAGAACGAGACGTGTATATTTCTGTCAACCCGCTCGCTCTGGTGGGCCGACCTCGGTCCCCTCCATTTGCGCCCGCGCTTGTTTTCGTACGATACGAGGGTGACAAAGCCTTCGATTTGTCCTGACTTTGATGTGCTTATTGGACATTATAATCAAATATTAACAGCATCTGTAAGTTTTCTGTAAGAAAAGAGGAAAATTACCTTTTCAAATTGCTATTTATGGAATCAGTCTGCTATTTAGAAAGTTAATAAAACTCAAGATATACCTACCATAAAACAAAAGCCGTTCTAGACATGACCATGCTTAGTACAAAGACATCTTGTTGTTCACTTTGATAAGCGAACAAAATCTTTTTCAGTTTGGTAAGTGCCGATTATATCCGCAACTTTTCGAGTCATGGCTCCACTACACTGTTCACACTTATACAGTGGGAGTATTCTATGCACTCACTCACACACCCATTTTGGCCCTCAGCTTAGCCTCTTTGGTAGAGCTCACGCACACTGCCATACCTCGGCCTGTCCGCACAAACACAGCGGCACTCTCAGTTCACTACACAACCTCATCTACTGCACTCACGCGCAGAAAAAAAGATACCGCGATCTATCGATCTTTTTTCAAATAAAAAAACAACGCCGTCTGATAGGCTTCATGGCTATAGTTGGTCAAACCTGACGTCTACAATCGAACGCGTCGCCCGGTCAGCCATTTATTCCGATCACAATATTTATGACAGCGTAATTAATTGAACATGTCATTTTAATTATGTAAATAAGGATGGGTGATAATCAATTAAAATTATGTGTTTCGATCTCGTTCGCTTAATTTAATGTAAACAGATATTTATCATTGTTCGTGACGTTTTTACGGTGTTAACATAAAGGTTTTGTTATGGTTTATGTGTGCCGGTAACATGCTTCTACTACTCCAGTGGAATTCATTATAGTTTGTGCCAGAATTCAAGTTTATGGGAGTATCACACTGATTGTCATACCATTATGGAACGTCACCAAAATGGTATGGATGTGTGGGTAGGTAAGGGTATAGAAGTAATTATTATTTTAATTAATCTTCTTCATGTTACACTACTAACTTTATTTTGTGAATTTGATTCTTTTTGCTTTTAAAATCTTATTAAGACAATAATATGGTTTGATGGTAAAAATATTTCGAAATTTAAAAAAGCTCACTTAGTTAGTTTCAATGCACTAAGTTAAATAAAGTATATTGCAAGGCACTAAGCTAAGAAGACTTATTAAAGAGATAAGTAAAGAGTGGATGCCCCTTAATGCTTCCATTTTATACATCAAATCTAATGTTTCACTTGTAAAAAAGCTCTTACTATTTAAAGGTAAAAATCCTATTAAGTTCATTTTAAAAGTAAAATAAAACCATTCACTAAAACACAACTGCCGATAATCTCGTTTATCATAAAAAGGATCTGAAAAAAAAATGCAAAATGACAATTGAGTATTTATGTAACATTTATAATAATTACTCTCTAGAATAATTACAGACAATCCTTGTATATTTTCTTCAACTCTAGCAATTTCAGTAAATGTAGTCTCAGTTTACAGTTTCAATTTCAGTAATATTTTAACGTGTCAAATATTTGTTGTATTTTCATTTAAATATCCCACTCCAAGAAATACACAGGGAAATATTATAATGTAACTTTTGAAAGTAATATTGACAAAAAAACATGATTTAAATAAGAAATAGAGGTGCATACCTATTCCGTTAGTTTTATGTTACGTTAAAATATATTTCACTTAGAAATATTAATCTCTATATTTAATACAGATATTAATCATACCTAGGTACCTAATAAAATTAATCATACTAGAATTTTACCGTATAATATTAATCATACTGGAATTTTTCACTCCTTAAAAGTGAGTTTGTCTATTAAAACGGTTCATAAATACCTTCTAGCTAACCTACTTTATGTATAAAATGTACATCATTACACTACCTAGTTCGCAATGAAGAACTTGCATTTGAAAGATAGTCTTTAAGATTCTCAATTAAGAGTCCATATTTCCTTGTCATCAGGACAAGGACGAGTCAACCAACTCGGCGGTCTCTTCATCAACGGACGGCCCTTGCCGAACCACATCAGGCTGAAGATTGTGGAGATGGCAGCGGCTGGAGTCAGGCCCTGCGTCATCTCGAGGCAGCTGCGAGTCTCCCACGGCTGCGTGTCCAAGATCCTTAATAGGTACCAGGTGAGTGACCAGATCAGGATGAATATTTTGAAGTTGGACCACGAGTTTTCTTTTTCTTCTTTACCATCATGGCGATAAGTTTCCACGTATTCTGATGAGAAAACCACGAGATGTATTTTTGAAAACTAACTGTGACCGTAACCGCAGTTAGCCACTGTGTGATCAAGAAGTGGCAGGCCCCCAAAAACGTTTATTTATTTACCCGAAATTTTAAATGTTCGATCTCTCTCCCGCAAAATAAGATGATGGCATTAGCGACGGTGACAGATAAACCTGAAACTACGTAAACGGCGATGGAGAGTATAATATGTACTTGTAGTAACGAATCTGCCGTCTCCAAAGTCCTCAATAGGTACCAGGTAGTAAGTAACCAAATCAGACAGTGGTCAACAAATTCTGTACCTACGAAATCTCGAAGCATCTGTGACTCTCCCGAGGCTAAGTCTCAAGATCTGCAACAGGTTCTAGTAAGATTTTCAATAATAAATAACGTTATACGTAGACTGGGATTATCCTACTAATATTATAAATGCGAAAGTTTGGATGTCTGGATGTCTGAATGTTTGTTACTCTTTCACGCAAAAACTACTGAATGGATTTTGATAAAACTTTACAGTATTATTGTTTATAACGCAGAATAAAATATAGGCTAAAATTTATGACGATCTATGACAAACTAATTTTCACGCGGGTGAAGCCGTGGGCTAAAGCTAGTTTTAAATATTTATTTCTATTCATAACCACCATAAAATGTACAAATTGTAAACTAGTCTTCATGTTTCATCTGCTTCATTATTTCAGCATTTACTTTCAATTAATGTTTTTGAAAGAAAGAAAGAAGGAAAGAAAAATGTTTATTTGGTCGAAAATAATTATAAATAGTCTAAATACCTACACATTAATTTGAAAAAGATGAAGTAACTACAAAAAACCTATTGCTACTATATTCCTACTGAAAACATGTTTTTATTACCTTAATACTAAAATAATAATTTAACATTAAGAACATATTGTTAAAGTACTCGAATGTAAATTAATGCTCTTAGTAAATTGTGAACTACTCGATACTAAATATTGAAGCTTTGAAGCATAGCACAAGCCTGGCTGCAATCCCTTCAAGAGAATACTTAATGGTACCTGCCTCTATTAGTCTATTGAGAATATTAAATCACTTTTTTAAAGTATATTCAAAAGGCTTTTTAACCAACCTAGATAATATTACTTATATTAGTCCCCCCATTCAAGAAAAAAATCGTGGGTATTTTTACCCAATCTTCTAAGTAGAAAGGTTTTTTAACTATTTTTTAGATTTCTGTTTTAAGTACCAAAACTAACTTTCAAATAAAAAACCGACTTTAAATCGATCGAGATCTGAGCTTCAAACTTATAACACTCCGTTTGATCGGTTTTCTTCTAACTTTAAAGCATGTGCCTTTCCATTTTACTGAAAATTTCCTCTACGCTTTTGTCATAGAGCAGGGGTATAACGCATCGTTAAATTTTGATGGAGGAAATAATGTTCTAAACTGTCTTAAACTAATTTTGCAAGACACTACAAAGTTTCCGTTTACAAAGTGTTGCCGGGGCTTAAATCTTGTTTTACCATAAACGAACTACACTTCAGGCAAACACCAGCATGTCAAAACAATTATTTATATTACATACTGACTTTGATTAGATTAATTCAATTGGTCGTGTCAATACATACAAATTGAATACCAATATTGATGAACATCTATCAATAATTTGTTGATTGAGCCACTGTATCAGCCTTTCTCATTTATTAGACTGTATTTGCCGACTCTTGATTTATTTACTTATCTGCTAAACGAAATGAGATTTATTCGGAATTACAGCAAACGTCTAAATCTTTGGATTAACGTATTTTTAATGAGTCTCAATCGATAAATGGGCTTTTAAAAAAATCAGAAATTAAATGGTAAAAACTACTTTTTCTAGTTTGTTTTTTTACATAGAGACTCTTTATCTTCATTTCATCTGATTGTGATGATCAGATCGAAGGTGAAAGCGAGCTTAAAATTATTTATTGTTTAAAACATTGTGTAGTAGAGTGTCACATTCACTTGCAAGACAGTGTATGCACATTTTAGTGAAGGTCCGCAAACATTACGAATTCTACGAATTCCCGAGTAGCCGCATGGACAAAGCTAAAGTAAAGAATTCCAAATAATGTCCTTGGTATAAAAAATTCCTTGTCCCCTCTTGAATAATAAAATATTTTTTCTATGATACAAATGGATTTAACCCAAAATTGTTTCACTGTCTGCGGTTAACCATTTTATTAATTTATAATTGAGCTGTTATAACTTTATGATTACCCGCGTTCCTTAATGATTTCGCAGAATATCCTTTCAAGACTATTAACTTGGATGTTTGGTAAAATAATTTGTAATGTTTTTAAGTTCCTTCCTTTATATTTCATCCGAAATCACTTCAATGAAAGTTATTTTTATGATAGCAGAAACATTTCATTTTCCCTCTTACAATTTCGGGAATGCCATTACAATGGTTGTCTAAAAATAGAGGTTTTTCGTGAGCTATTAAAAATGAACACTCGAAAAATAATAATAAATATAGGTACGAGTACATCTCTTACGATATTTACAAAAAATCGTATGTACGAGTTTATTGTTATTAGGTCAAATATCTGAAGTAGATACCATCATGTCAATAGGGTTGAGTGTGGGGGGGAACAATCGTCATTGATCCCTGTGCAGCCAAGCCTGAAGGTCTGTTTTCACCAGCTCCTATGGACACCACAATGAACCCATTGTTTCACCCAGGAAGTGTTTTCTACGCTCCGGCGTGGGGTTCGACCTCTGCCATTGTGGGGACACTGCCAAAGAAAACTACGCTGCATATTTTTCTGATAAAGTTTTTACATTTTTACAAAGTTTTGCACTTTTTAATGTATGCAACAAAGCGTACAACAGTGCATTTGAGTGATTTTTGTTGGAAAAACAAAAACCATTTTTTCACTCGCAGCAAAACAACACTTCACTTGCTATTTGGTAATTATATGTTGTATAAGATAATTATACATGTTACTCATAAATATTGTTCACGTATAAATTTTGCAGGAAAGCTTTTGATGGAACTTTTCTCTAATGTCACTTCATCAAAGAAATAGCATACGATGCTGCGGTCGGAAGATATTATGTAATAGTGAAACTGATAAATCAGTAGACATTTAAATAATAGCTTGTTCCTCGAGTACTGCAATATTTATAGCTCTATAGTCCCCAGACGCTAGTTATCATGTGCGTACAAAATACCAGAATATATCTAAACAAATAGCTACTGCCTTCACAACCAAGTTTAGAGGCCATTTATTACTGCAGAAAAATACGGCAGCTTTCAGAAATATATTTTCCTTGGAAGGTGCATTGAATTGGATACATGTAGATAAGCACTATTACCGTGTTATTTATTTATTTATGGACGTTATTATGTCACCTTAATACATTTTATTAGGGCCTTTTCAATTGGAAAGCATCGATTCGGCACCTGTGATGCTGCTATTATCTATTTTTAGCCATAATTTCTTTTTCTAAAAAAATTAGAAGTCACCGCTGATAAACTTAAAATAGAATTACAACCAGAATGACTTTAAAACATTTGAGGAGTTATGCGTTATAACGTCATTATTACTATCAAATAAGATCAAAGATCATACTCGTATTTTGTAACTTCAGTTTATCATGACTTAAAAAACTTCTCTCATTTACAATTTTCACATTGTATGGGACTAGATCTAGGCTAGATTGCAGAGATCACCACTTATTATGAATCACAATGATGACCACGGCCACTCTGGCAAAAGTATATCGATTAGAAACGACTAGATGGTGCAAATAAATCATTAAGGTTGAGTTGCACCAGCTAACGTTAACAGTAACTATGACGATAACAGATGTGTTTTGTATGGAGTTTTACAGACTTTTGACGTTTGACAAAGTTAAAATAAGATGGTGGAACTCAGTCTTAATATGTATACATAAGGAATTATTATTCATTGCTATACCTATAATGTATAGCAATGAATAATAAACGCCACCAGACGCAGGAGATCCCAAAGCAGCCAAATCTACTGATGGATTTGTTATAATCACACTCGTATGCTGCTGGACTGGACTTTGCTGTGGCTGGGCTTCATCTATCGAAGACCTTAAATCACTGCCGTTTAGATTCATATTCGCATTTTGAATAAATAAATAAATACCTATAATGTAATAAGTGATCTATAAATGGAAGCTTTGCTTTCGCCCAGGAGACCGGATCCATCAGACCCGGCGTGATTGGCGGTTCGAAGCCCAGGGTGGCCACGCCGGAGGTGGAAGCCAGGATTGAAGAGCTGAAGCGACAGAACCCCGGCATCTTCTCGTGGGAGATACGAGAGAAACTCATCAAGGTAACATGGCAAAATCACTACATAGTATAAAGCAAAGTCGCTTTCTGTTGTCTGTCCCTAACCCTATGTATGCTTAGATCTTTAAAACTACGCAACGGATTTTGGTACGGTTTTTTTAATAGATAGAGTGATTCAAGAGGATTGTATACTTAGCACCCGTGCGAAGACGGGGCGGGGTCGCTAGTAAATAATAAGTAGCATAGAGTCCGCGACATTAAAATTGGACAAACAATAATAATCTATCAGAAGAAACTGTCTCAATGACTTCAAAAGTATAAGTGAAAACAAGCGCTATCTACGACAGGTAGTCCTTCGCAGCACGAGCTGAACTACTTCCATTTGCTTTAATATAAATTTTTTTATTACTTTTTGTGTAAAAAAGCAATAAACATTATTTATTAATATCCATGGAAAAAATAAGTTCCGCTGTTGATATTAGGTACATAGTTGGTCTTGTACGTTCACAAATATCTAGTTCGTATTGTACTCGATCGTATTTCGAAGGTCTGCGGTCTGGACGGAAACCGAATGAAAGGGTATTCGTGTATATTCTGTTTGTAAATAAATAATTTGCCGAAAATTTAAAGACAATCGAAATATCTAGCATCCAAGGGAATGAGGCCTCTAACACTATTTTTTTTAACAATTTTTCTTTTATGTATCCTGTGGTGGTATTTATAAAAGTGGTAAAAAGAAGTGGTAAAGATAAACTATTAAAAATGTGAAAAAGCCTCTCACATTTCATTAAAAACGTCAAGTAAAATTTCATTTATTGCTACAAATCTAACAATCAAAGATATTAGAAGCAAATCCAATCTAATTGAAAGATTGCTTTGAAAACAAACAACTCTTTGAAGTCCAACGTTTTGTAGCAATGAAAAAGGCTTCCTTTTTGCGTCCAATCACGTACCTAATGTTTCAATATTGCATCTGTCGATTTGCCTAATGAAATGTGCCAGAAATAGCCGGAATAAAACCTAAAAACCTTTCCTCTTTGTGAAGGGATACAATAAAAAGCATGTGATAAAATAAGTTGTGTTTTTGTCCGCTAAAAATCGTGGGCGGTTAAAAGGCCGAGTTATTTTAGGCTGTGTAAAAAGTGTTTGGTGTTGAGACAATGACGTGTAATGACGCGTTTTGCAGGAAGGCGTGTCGGACCCTCCCAGCATATCTTCGATTTCGAGGCTGCTCCGTGGGGGCGCCAGGGACCCTGATGGGAAGAAAGACTACAGCATCGACGGGATTCTGGGAGGTGAGATGCTTTTTGAGATATTTGATTCAATCTAATGAGCATTGCCTTTACGTTTGCCCAATAATTAAGAACGAGCTTGCTTGTCTTGTTTGCTAGCAATCCAAAACTTAATTAACTCATCTATAACATTATTATTCGATCAACTGTATGGTTTTTTCATAAAAACAAAACGGACGGAGCTCGGTTTGTTTATTATGCAGATAATTTCTATTAAACTTCTCTATACCTATTTATACGTCTGCCACTCTTATATTACATCCAAGTCACATTATTATATCGATAACTGCTTAAGTAGTCAGAATAATTTATTAGAACTCTACACCTGTAGTGCCCTGACATAATAAGATCAACATCAACACGAGTATTCGAGGAACTTGAACAATCGTTCAATTTGATCGTCTTCTAACATTATTTATCGTCACAATCACGTTTCAAGCTCGTTCGTCTCCCAAAAAACGTGTTTTATCGTGAACTGGCAACTTCTTGAATCGCAGACGTAATCGATCGCGCGACTTAACGAGGCCTTGAAAAATAGGCATTTTATTGTGAACTTTACTATAGTAGTGAAATGTTGAGTCAATATTTAAGGCTATAGTTATTGGATTGGCGTACTTTGATCGTAGCGACGTTATTTTTATACCTTTAATTTTATATCAGAACTATTCTTACTCTATATTGTGGTTATGACTCACGCACGGCACCTTTTCGTGTTTGAAAAAAATAGTGATGCGCATAATCCGTTGCGCTTTTTCTCATTTTTACCAAAACATCAAGTCACTTCCGAATCAATAAGCCGAAAAGATAAACCACCCCCATTTGCACAACTTCCCGTCCCATCGAGCGGTCACTCGGGCGCGTTAATAACCCCAACCTGTCAAAGCTTTCTCACGAGGTGCGTTAAAAAAATTCAATTTCCGTACACAAATCTTACGCAGTCATTGTTGCAGTTTGAAATATTGCAATTTGTTGTCGAGGCGCGGCGAGGCGGTCGCGTTTGAGTCTTTAAGCCGAGTCGTCCGACAAAGTAGTCCGACAAAGTCGCCGCGGTCGCCCGCTGCGCACTTGGATAGTGCTGAAATCGCACACAATCGACGTAACATGTTTTGGTTGTTGTCTCATTGTTGCATTGTGTTTACCTATTCATGTCAATGCGTAATTGCCCTTTGAGATCCGCCGTAGGTATGTACCTGTCTCGTAGATTCGCCGCCCCATTTTGCTTTTTAGGGTTGAAAGGCCCGCGCTTTTTGTGAGCATCGGCTGAAATATTAAGCAAACTCGCACTTGCTTGGCTACTTGTCAATCTTGCCAATACGCAAGGAGAAATAGATACGCTTTAAGCTCATGTAAGTTAATAAACTTAAAATCATTTGGCACAATTTCTTATGAACACAGGTATTCATTAAAATATAAATAAATTATAAGTCTGCTGCAGTTCTTAGTATGTTCTTGAGTAAATATTTACCTTATCTTAACTAACATAACTTAGTTATTAAAATAATTAGAGCTCCGTTCAAAAAATGATAATTACGAATAGACATAAATATTAAGTAGACAATCAAGCTAAAAGTATTTCCATAAAAATGTACATCTATTGACATACTTCCCGTCGCAATCCTCCATTTTACTTTATCTATACGCAATCGCAAATTGTCGCGCGCTGAAAAACGCAACAATACAAATCGCGAGACATCACGATCGACTTTCACACGAAACAAAGGCGGCGATAAAATCTTGCATTTGTTTAATAACATGTGTCGTTAGCGGCCTAATGCGGGGGGGCCATTACCGAACCTCCGCGGTGTAGCGCAATCACTCTACATCTTGAATTAGAGAGGGCTTACATGACGACTTACGAATGGCAAAGCCTTAAATCCAAATACTTTTAAGATAAGATAAGAAAAACTTTATTTTAAATAAACAGCTTGAATAAATCGAACTGCCTAAGGCGGGAATCGACTCCACGACCTTTCGCTTGCCGGGCGACTGTTCTTCCATCTCTACTTAGATAGAAAACTAACCGATGATAATATCTCTAATTAGAAAACTAACCGATGTAACCGATTTTGTTTGTTTAAAATACCTCCAAGGATAATTAGCATTACTTAGGTAGGTACTTGTGCTGCGAATATTGATGTAATTTGCAATTCACCACTTAGCAAAGTCGATTGTTGATTTTTTTAAATATTTTTAAGAAGTAGCGCTACTTGTTAAAAATAAAAAAATAAAACCGACTCCAAAAAACCTACACTAAAACGTAGAAAAATAATTACTAATTACCTACTTATTTATTAGGACGAATTAATTATTAATATTTATGTAGGTATACCATGATTGATACTTTTGGAGTCGGTGCAGGCAAACTTTACATGTTTCATAATCTTGGCACCGACTCCAGATGTATCAATCATGGTATACCTACATAAATATTGCCAAATGAATGCTCGTTAAGTAATCCATCCATCCATCCTCACAAACTTTCATATTTAAATTAGTAGGATAGGAACCATGTAAACCCACCATAGAGTAACTAGCATCCAAACTATTTGAAGGCATTTATTACACCGCGTTGTGTTCGAGACAGATTTGTCGCGTCGCTCAGGCCCTCCCATAGAGGAACACCCGGAAGTGAAAGATAATGTAAAGTAATCAACACATCTCATTTTTATAACACATAATGCGAAAGTAGTACATAAAGACAAACAGTTAAACATTAATGCTAAGTTTAACTTTGAGCCAGTTTTAGAAAGGGCGTGCTTCTGCATTGGAGACTAGGCGCACACCGTTGATTTTTAGTTGGCCGATAGTTGTGCCCGATTTTAAATTGTATGAAGAATCGGCCAAATCGAATCGGCGCCGCGGCGTAGTGTGCGCACTCCCATACATGCCCATACTGATCAACTGCCCGACTAAACTATCGGCCGACGAAAAATTAACGGTGTGCGCCTACTCTTAATGGTTTGATAAGGATGATCATGAAATCTATCTATAACCTGAAAATTTATTCATGCTAGTAAATTAAATCTATCCTATAACCTGAAAATTTATTCAAGCTAGTAAATTAATCTGTATTTTAAAATTCAACCAATAACTTGAATATGCTTAAATCGAGTTAGTTTTGAGTTTGCTTCATAATACGAGTACGAGGCCAAGTATTGATTACTTTATAAATGTTTTTTTAAATACATAGGATATTGTGTTCTGTTTATTGATGTTAAAGTTCAAATCTGTTGAAACAGCAGGTAATCCTCGATGTATGTATAATGACTAAGTATATGACGTAATCCGGCATCAAACGCAACGTGCAAATACTAATTCTGTTTGAGCGGTCTAGAACTAGATTATCTGTCCAAAATAGCTTATTATAGTCGAAACTATGTACGAATTTAATTCGGCTTTCGCGGATCCCTTTGATGTTTAGAAATTAACATGATAAATCTCGGAATTCTGCCAATACGGGTTAGTAAACCATTGTTAGTTGTTGCGTTTAATAATATAATATTAATAGGTATGTAACTGGTAATTGATATTAAACATCACGCACTGTCTCTTAACCTCATCTGTCAAATCAAACTTCCATAGAAACAAACAAGATACACAGTTAAAGTTCATGACAGTGCAAATAAATTATCAAAATAATTTAAATGGCACCTCGTGGCAAATAATAAACAGCTTACGCCCACCCTGGGCCGCGCCAGCCATCTGTTAACATCGGAACTACATGCTGAAACAAAGGCGGCCCGGCTTTTTAATGAGCCCAGATTATGAAGGTGTTAAAACGCCGCGCGGCTCTTTCAACTTCCAAATTATGACTTGGCTCGCCCCGAATCTTCACGGGGTCACATTTCGGCAATCGCCAAAACCTTCCCTCCTTATCCCACACACAGCAATCCCCATCACTCTCTCTCCTTTCACCAGACATTAAATCCCCTGTAGGTTTCTTTTACAATCCCCGAAAAACCAAAAGAAACTTTACGATTCCCTTTTAAAGTTCGCTCTCGACCGTTGCGGTGCGCGCGAGTCATTTGGTCACATACGTTAAGATCAGGACTGGGAACAAAAAAGGCCAAATAAATCTGTCGCTCTCTCGCTCGCGGGAATTTGAGCAATGTAAATCATTTTATTACAATACGATGTTTTTTATTTGGTGTCGCAGCCTTTGTGGTCGATGTGTTGCCTCGTGCTTTTTACGGCCCTTCCTTCCTACGGCCCTTCCTTCCTACGCCTACAACGGATAATAGGCGGTTTCCGTTGAGTTTGCATCACGTTTATTATCATTTGATGACATGATTAATATGCGTAAGTTCGCAAAAGTTTGAATTGATGGTAGAACTAATTTAGCTATCTCTGCCTGCAATAAATTAATCAAATTCGACGGGTAAAGGTTAAGGATATTATAAATTTCGAACAGTGAGCTTAGCTTGGAATAAAGAAAAGCTAAAATTAATAACCGGCGATTAAGAAAGTGTTTTTTGACAGTGTTATAAAACTTATTTACTTCCTACATCTAACCAGAGTCCAAATCGCGTATTAAGGCTCGCGTTCGTTCATGTCATAAATCCAGATTGCGACTCCAAAATATTGAATGGTGCCAAAGTGTCACCGCGCAAAGACGCCGACAAAGAGGCCGCCGCGCTGGGTGTTCCTTATTCCGCGCCACGCTGAGCCCCTATTTTTTCATCTCATTCAATTTTGACTTCTTTCAAAAGGCTATTAATATAAGCCGCATTTTTTAAAATCAGCTCTAAACCCAAAGCCGCGTATTGTTGCCGGCAGTTTTTTAATCTGTTTCCGTAGGATACCGCTACCGATTTATAAATGAGTCCGACCCGCGCCTGACGACCCTTGATTTGCCCGAATTAAAACATGATGTGGGTTTTTACAAAAAACACAAGCTTAATAAATAACGCGTGTCTCAAAAAAAGAGATGAAGACAAATTGCTACAATATAATGTCAAATAAATTATAACCTCCCATTGAGAAGACATTCGTATATTACATTCTTAATATAACAAAGACTAGCTCAATATCACTTATCTTAGCTTCAAGGAATTGGGATTTATTTATTCTTACATAATTCTCTTTTTTTTTTTTTAATGGCAACCAAACCTCTCTGGTAGGTTTATTTCTGCCAATGTCGAGTGAAAAATAATTGACATACCTAGTTATCAATAGAACGTGGGTGTTTCAGTTCTATTGATTTTTCATGGATTCCGTGGAGTTAAGTATGCCCGTAAGCAGGTTTCGAGACGCCACCGGGTCCAAAGCGGGTTGTTCATACGACAACCCGCACACATGCACACACACCTGCAACCCGACAACAAATTCGAAGTATTTCAATGTTTTTTATAATTTATCACTTCACTGCACTTTAGAACACAAAATAACACCAAATTTGTACACTAAAGTCCATTAAATAATAAATTGAAACCATTAAAACAGATCGACCATGCTTTCCGTTCAACTAACCTCCACGGAATCCATAATTATCTTTCAGTGCCTTTATATCAAGGATCTACTTGCCAGTAAACTATAGGTAGACAAAGGTATTTTTACGTATTCGCACTTGACACAATCGACGAAACTATTGGTTTGATTGGAAGCTCTTTCGCTATGAGAACTTCAGTGTAGCGATAAATCCATTTTAAGTGCCTCCAGTACCACATTTCGTTCGAGTTACATTTAATAATATACAGCGCGTATCCCGTTTTAAAAACAGGTCGAAACTATCCTACATTTTTCCCTAGGTCCTAATTATCTCTATACCAAATTTCATCAAAATAAGTCCAGTTGTTGGTTTCAGTTTAATCGTAAATAGGTAACACATTAACGTTCGCATTTATATCATAAGTACAAATTTTCCATCTATCTTCATAAATTCCAGGTCGAGGATCAGACTCCTCGGACATCGAGTCGGAGCCAGGTCTGACCCTCAAGAGGAAGCAGCGCCGGTCGCGGACCACGTTCACGGGAGAACAGCTGGACGCTCTGGAGAGGGCCTTCCACAGGACCCAGTACCCTGACGTGTATACACGAGAGGAGCTCGCGCTGCAGACAGGGCTCACTGAAGCCAGGATACAGGTACGTCATCTTTCAATACTACAATATTCCATAAACCAAGGTGCTATTAGTAAAAATTGATTGAACACCATTTTATATGAGACTTTTCTTGCCCTTGGTGTCACAGTAAAACATCTCATTAAATGGTGTAAAAGAGAATACCATTCATTTAACATTATTCTAATTTGTATCATTAAGTTTTAATAAAGGAAGTTTTAATAAGGAATTAAGTTTAAATAAATTAACAGCAGAGCAGTCTAAAACCTACCATCGCTCGAAATGTTTAGTATGGTAGGTACGTTATATTTTACCGCCTGAAGAAAATTAGAAACTTTAATTTTCGTTAAGGTAAAATGACATTGTAGTGCTAAATGTAGTTTCGGGGTGCCATTTTACAAAATTATCATTCATTCATAAATAATTAAGAAAAAGTTAATTAAATGTAATATTTTTGTTTCTTTGGTCATTGTATCATTTACATTAATTACGAACGTAGTTGAATCATGATTCAACAAAATTTTCACATATTTTCTCAAAAGCAATTAAGTTGAGAAAAGACAAGTAGAAGTTTTATGTTATTATCATTTTATTTTCAGGTATGGTTTTCGAATCGTCGAGCTCGCTTAAGAAAACACACTGGCTCGAACTCTACGCCAGGCTTAGCTGGTTACTCCACGTTACCCATGCCACAGATTCCGTGTCCCTACCCGGCAGGGGACATCCCTCCGTTACCGCAGCATCCGCAGCACCCTGACGCCTGGCACCACCAAAAATACGCTAACTACAACCAATTAATGGCGCAATCGCAGCACCTCAATCAAGCATTCCAAAGCGCTGCCTTCCCAAGCACCTCTAGCTCCACCTTCAGTCATCTAGTAAGCGCTAACGTCTCAGCACCAAGCCAAATACTCGACGCTGCAGTCCCTAGAAACGACTACGCTCGGTATCCAACCAACGACGTTTACAACAAACCTATCAACTATCTACCAAAAGAACCAGAAGCTGATGAGAAAGTCGCTAGCGAGGAAGTCATCGAACCTAGAGAGGATGCTTTTGTTAAAGCAAGCAACGACGATTATAATAAGGTTTTACCGAGCACTGAGTATCCTAAAGTTCCCGCTGACTACTCCAAAGTTCCTGTGGATCCTTCGGCTGCTGCAAACTGGAGCCCGTCACACAATTCTCTGAACATGAGCCTCGCAGGTTTATCAAGTGAATACAAATACATGAACGATCCGTACGCCTTCCCTAACATGAGTGATCCGCTCAATCAACACAGTTATCCAAATCCACCACCTAACGCTACTAATAAATACTGGATATGACGAAACGAAATATTAGATGTAAGTTGTTTTACTTTAAATTATAGTCAATGAGTTTAATAACAGGAGTAGGTACATGAATCTTGAAAACTGTTTTGAAATTAAATCATCATGTAGAAACATGTGAGGTTCTCAATGATCCACTCCTTTGTTTGCTCAATGTTTGTCCTTTATTGTTATTTTTATTTAAATTATATTTAAACCTTAATTAGTAAGATTAACTTAGTTAAAAAGATAAAATTACCTCTACTATGCATTCCATTTAGAGATACCTACTTTAAACCAAACATTTGTAAAAAGTTATTAGAAAAGTCATTAGCATAATATAATTTAAAATAAATCATGTGTTTGTTTTATTTCTGTAGTCATTTCCGAGACTCGAAATTACTTTCATAATTATTTTACAAGAGTCGAAAATCTAATAATGAGTGTGGTGTGTTAGCAACGATCGTAAAATAAAAATGCTATGAGTATTGCTTCTGAATCAAATAATATTTATTAAGTTCGTATAATATTAGTAGTACCTATTTACAAAATGCGAGTTATAAATTACATTTAGTTAAAAACAAATACTGGGGTAACAATCTACATCTGGGTTGTAATTTCTACAATGGACGCACCCGGTTCCTCAGGGGGAAATACCACATCTGCGGGTACGTTTTCGGGAGCAGCCTGGTTTACTGCCACAGGCGCCTCTGTAATTGGAACATCAGCTACGGTTGTTTCTGCCAAAACTTCAGACTGTGCAACATCTACAGCTGGGACGGGTTCCACTGGGGCTTCAGGTACTGGTGAGTCAGTACTTGGTTCACTGACAGCTGATGTGTCTGTGCCAGCAGGGGTTTCCGATGGGACTGGAGCATCAGTTGGTACCACATCACTGCCATCACCGACGACTGTTGATGATTCAACGGCGACTGCAGATTCACTGCCCGAAACAGACGAAACAGGTACAACCTCTGAGGCGGTACTGCTTGAGCTGCTTACGTCAGGTACATTTGATGAGGCAACAGGAGCCGTTTCGGATGGACCTGCGGCACTGGCATCGGTAGCATCAGCATTTGATCCTGAGGCAGCAGCGGACGCTTCTGATGCACCGGCTGTGTTGGCAGCAGCTTCATTAGCTCCAGCGGAATTCACATCAACAACTGAATTGCTTGCCACATTATTGGTGACTGTGGCACCAGCCGTAATATTTTCGGAGACAGCTGAAGCAGATGCAGCCGAGACCACACTACTATCTTGTACATTTGCATCTGCGGTCGCAGGCTCATTAACACCAGCATCAGATGGGGTAGAAACTGGAGAGATTTCCGGTGTAATAGGAATTTCAGTAGCTGATACAATTATGATATCACTTGATAAAACATCAGATGCTGTAGGATTATTTGATGCCACTTCAGAAGCTCCAGGTGCAGCCGGTGTATCAACAGAAGTGGTAGTAGCATCTGAAGGCACACTATTCAATCCAGTTTCTCCAGCTGCAGAAACTTCGGCAACTGTAACATCGTTAGTACTCGCTTGTCCATTAGATGATACTTCTGAAGCGACAGAATTAGCTTCACCTTGGCTGGCCACAGTTGCATCAGAGGAACCAACAGCATTTGATTCGGCTGTGTCAGCTACGTTAGAGACAACTTCTGAGTTCGCAGTTGATGCAGTCTCAGGTGCGGCTCCTGAAGAAGATACGGCATCAACAGCATTTACTTGTGTGTTTGAAGATTCAGTATTTTGTGCAATTGCACCACCTTCAACGGCTGCTGGAGCAACATCATTGACAGCAGTTTCTTGTTCATTAGGAACTAAGACTGAGTTATCAACGTTACCTGTTTGACCATTAGGCGCCACACTGGAGGGAGCAGCATTTGAGCCAGCTCCACTGATATCGGCAACATTTGCTTGTCCATTCGATGCTACATCAGTGAAACCAGTGTTTGAACCAGATTCACTTCCTGTAACCACTGGTTCATTAGGTGTTGCAACACTTCCACTGGCTCCAGAAGCTACATCACTTCCACTTACTGCAGCATCAGAACCGGAGGTAGAGTCACTAACTGTTTGTTCAAGAGGCGCATCAGGTGAAGCAGAAACTCCAACAGTAGAAGCATCAGCAGCACTTACTGGTTCATTGGATACTACATCAGTAGTACTCGAAGCTGAGTTACTGTCAGTTACTATGGCATCTCCTGGAGCTGCAACAGAGCCATCTACTCCAATTTCACTCACAACATTTTCAGGGACTGTAGCAGAATCAATCGTTTGTCCATTAGACACAGCAGAGTTTGATTCTGTTTCACTTACTGCAGAATTTCCTGCATTTGTTTGTCCAATAGATGCTGCATCAACGGCACCACTGTCACTCACAGCTACGCTTCCAGCGGCTGATGGGGAAGCCACGGCATTTGTTTGTCCAATAGATGCTGCATCAACTGCACCACTGTCACTCACAGCAACGCTTCCTGCAGCAGAAGTGGAATCCACGGTAGATGCTGCATCAACTGCGCCACCTTCATTCACAACAACGTTTCCAGCGGCTGATGTGGAATCCACGGCATTTGATTGTCCAATAGACGCTGCATTAACGGCACCACTATCACTCACAGCAACGCTTCCTGCAGCTGATGTGGAATCCACGGCATTTGATTGTCCAATAGATGCTGCATCAACTGCGCCACTGTCACTCACAGCAACGCTTCCTGCGGCAGATGTGGAATCCACGGCATTTGATTGTCCAATAGATGCTGCATCAATGGCACCACTGTTACTTACAGCAACGCTTCCTGCGGCTGATGGGGAAGCCACGTCATTTGCTTGTCCAATAGATACTGCATCAACTACGCCACCTTCACTCACAGCAACGCTTCCTGCGGCAGATGTGGAATCCACGGCATTTGACTGTCCAATAGATGCTGCATTAACTGCGCTACCTTCACTCACAGCAACGCTTCCTGTGGCAGATGTGGAATCCACGGCATTTGTTTGTCCAATAGATGCTGCATCAACTGCACCACTGTCACTCACAGCAACGCTTCCAGCGGCGGATGTGGAATCCACGGCATTTGATTGTCCAATAGATGCTGCATCAACTGCACCATTGTCACTCACGGCAACGCTTCCTGCGGCAGATGTGGAATCCACGGCATTTGATTGTCCAATAGATGCTGCATCAACAGCGCTATTTTCACTCACAGCAATGCTTCCTGAGGCTGATGTGGAATCCACGGCATTTGTTTGTGCAATAGATGCTGCATCAACGGCACCACTTTCACTCGCAGCAACGCTTCCTGCGGCAGATGTGGAATCAACGGCATTTGTTTGTCCAATAGAAGCTGCATCAACTGCGCCACTGTCACTCACAGCAACATTTTCTGCGGCTGATGTGGAATCCACCGCATTTGATTGTCCAATAGATGCTGCATCAACTGCACCACCTTCATTCACAACAACGTTTCCATCGGCTGATGTGGAATCCACGGCATTTGATTGTCCAATAGATGCTGCATCAACGGCACCACTGTCACTCACAACAACGCTTCCTGCGGCTGATGTGGAATCCACAGCATTTGTTTGTCCAATAGATGCAGAACCGGAAGTAACAGAGTTAGATTCTGCTCCACTTTCGGCAGTGGCTCCACCAGTTGCAATTGATTGCCCATTAGATACTGCGCCAGATGCACCACTACTTGTTGCAGCATTTTCAGTGGCGGAAGCTGAGCCAACCGTCTGTCCATTAGATACAGCAGCAGATGAAGCAGAGCCTGCTCCACTTGCACCGGCTGTAGGGACTTCAGCAGCTAATCCATCAGAACCACTCACTTGTCCATCGGGAATTACAGGTGAGCCATCAACATTCACTACAGAACTTCCAGCGGCGGAGGTAGAACCATCAACAGAGTTCGTTTGGCTATTAGGTGTGGCATTAGAGACAGCAGGATTAGATCCAGATCCACCGTCTGCAGCAGTTACAGAAACAGAACCAGCAGCAGCATTTGTTTGACCTTGGGCTGCTACGCCAGATGCATCAGCATTAGCTCCACTGCCACTTACTACGGCATTTCCAGCCTCCGAAGTATCAACTATTCCACTGCCTGCAACGATTCCAGAAACGGAGCCATCAGCTGTAATTGTTTGTCCATTGGCAGCAACGCTAGAATCTCCAACAGCACCATTCACTACAGTACTTCCAGACGCTGAGTTATCAGCAGCTTGTCCCTGAGGTGCGGCATTGGAGGCAGCAGAGTTGGATTGAGTTTCACTTGCAGAAGAGCCCACAGAAGCAGTAGATTGTCCGTTGGCATCAACAGTTCCAGCGGCAGAAGGGCCACTGGCGGTAGCTTGACCTGCAGACACTGAATTAGCTGCTCCATTTTGGTTCGAGATCGCGTTTGGTGTACTTCCGGTGACCCAGTTTGGCAGAATATTGGCCAAAAACTGTGAAATAGCTTGAATGAATGTTTTCTTTTCTTCAACGTACTGTGCTTCTGGTGCCGTAGTTAAGTTGTAATTATTAAGAAGTATTGTTTTATTATTCAACTTCTCCAACTTCCTTTCTAAATCTGCTTTCAATTGTTGTATGCCAACAGCGTTAACATGACTCAAAATGTGATTCCTAAAATATTCTTGAACAGAAACATCACCCTGAAGCCTTGTTTGTATCAACTTAATAACAGCTTGGCGGAAATCGCCCTTAGTACTGTTAGCGTTAAGGCCTAATTCTTCACTCATATATCTACGTATGGCCAATTTCTTTTCGATAGCAGTACTATTCACGTTAACTCCATATCTCTGATATATGTAACCTTTCCAAATATCTTCAAGATCTAATTCTTCTTCTGCAGTATCTTCCACTGACTCTGAAGAAATGGGTTGTTGACTATGATTTGCTTTGTTCTTTAAATCCTCCAATCGTTTACGTTCTTTTTCCAAACGTTTTTGTTCTTCCCTTTCAATTTTCTCTTGCCTCTTGCGATTTTCTTCTTCTTGTTTTTGTCTTTCTTTCTCAATTCTTTCTTGGCGCTTTCGCTCCTCTTTTTCCAACTTTTCTTGTGCTTTGCGCTGTTTTTCAGCGAGTTTTTCCGCTAGTTTACGTTCTTTTTCTTCCTCTTTTTGTCTCTGTTCCTCCAGTTTCCGTTTCAGTTTTTCTTCTCTTTCTAATTCTTTTCTTTTCTGCTCTGCCAGTTTTTCTTGACGTTTACGTTCCTGTTCCTGTAATTTGCGCTCCACGGAATTGTCACTGTCGTCGTCGTCGTCATTGTTGCTGCTATCTTCACTGGAGTCTATGTGTTTGGAATCATCTGAATCTGAATCGTCGGACTTCCATAACAAAGCTCGTCTAGAGTTTGTTTCATCGGGCAAATATTTCGCACACACCACGCTAAAGCAGACCTGAAATAATTAAAAGAACATAATTTATTAATTTGTCAGCGACAGCTTATAATATTATGTGTAAGGAAATAGGGAGTTTATTTAAAATCTTTACAAGATATTTAACTAGGCTTCGTCACTAAACTTAAAATTCGTAAAGTTCATTTATTTTCGATAACTGCATTATTAATTCACTTTCACTGTTTTAAATAAATATTAAAAACATGCAGGTATTTAAAACGATTTAAGAAAATGAGTTTCTACCAAATATTGCAACACAAAACAAAGGCTATAAAAAGCAAATGTTCAACTATGTTATAATATTAAATTACACTTCACTCACAAATTGTAAAATTACATTAAAATTAAATAATTATTATCTATCATTCATAACACCAACACAACACTTAATTATTTAAAGTAACACTTAAAAACTTACAATTAGAAGTAAATATGTTATCTTCATTTTGAATGCTTTGTCACATCAACGCGAAATTCGTTCGTTATTCACTAAGTTTAAAACTTGTGTGATATAAGAGCTCGTTCGTTAGAATTTGTCTCCGGTGGTAGAGCACATCCTTTTATACTTCGACTGGCAATTACTAGATAACGTCGTTAGATAATGACTTCTGGCGAGATAACCAGCCAACACCGTAAATCTTCTCCAAACAAAATGTTTTCGCGAGCATGACTAAGTACTAACATTAGTTAATTATCTATACTTATAATAAATCTGTAGAGAGGTCAATTCTGTACATGAAATATATTTTCAAAATAACTATCAGGGGGTGATTAGTGATCGATACTGATGCCAAAAATTCAATCAGTAAAATTTTTGTCTGTCTGTCTGTCTGTCTGTCTGTCTGTCTGTCTGTCTGTCTGTCTGTCCGTCTGTATGTTCCTTATAGAAATAAAAACTACTCGACGGATTTTAACGAAACTTGGTACAATTATTCTTCATACTCCTGGGCAGGTTATAGTATACTTAGGAATTCCCACTGGAACAGGAATTAGCGGGAAAATCTTTTTGTATGAAAAATCTAAACCGCTTAAATTAGACGCTTGAAATTTGGCATGCAGGTACCTTAGTTAACTTAAAGCTTAGTTACAACAGGATATTGCAAAATTCCCACGGGAACGGTAGTTAGCGGGAAAAAACATTTGTATGAAAAAATCTAAACCGCGTAAGATAATGAAGGGGGTAAAACGGAATCCACGCGTACGAAGTCGCGGGCGACCGCTAGTATCACATAAAACGCAATGCGCTGAAGGAAAGCCCAAAACAAATGTGCCACGACCGGATGTTTACATCCGACGTCAACAATTATACTAACGGATGTAGGATTTAATTAATTTGTTTGTAGACTCTAAAATATTTTTGGAATGGTAACAGGCCTCCGTCACTCGCTCAAACTCGCACGATAAGTACCTACGTACGTTCGAACGCACAAGTGACAGTAATATGGTTTATATTTGTCTTAATCCATACATTTTCTTAACTTTCCCCCGGGACCAACTTAACCTTAACCGGTTGGGTTTTTCTTTTTATTGCCGGTTAAGCTGCAGATCCTGCCTAACAGTTGCAGCGGTGGGAACGAGAGATGGGAATAGTCCCATTCTTCATTTTCTGAACACAATGTACAGACATTGGCAAAATTCTATAGACGGTGTAAGGGATCAATAAAGACAATGATACTAGTTTGAACTTTGAATGTGATTTTGAGAATTGTTCTGAAATCAAATACCGACCCTACGGAACTTTAAGGGTTAACCTTAAAGTCAGTATCAGTAATAAGATACCATAGATCGCACTTAGTAGATCAAGACATTATGTACTAAAATTACCAACAAACTAAAATTGATATTCACGAGCTGTAAGGGTTTACTAAAATCTCGATTCCATCTGTAAAGTATACCTACTCGTACTTGTACTGATTTTTACGCCTAACCCTTTTATGCAAATGAGCGACTCTGGTAAAAGCTTCGAAATATAATACTTTTCTAATATCCGAGGCATGCATGTCCCTGTGAGAGCGGTCGCGGTCACGTATAATACTGAGGTTCTAGCCCAACATAATAATATTGTTCTAAACTTTTTTGTTTAGGATATGGCTAGTTCTTTGTAACACACTATTTTTTCTTCAAAGTATATTACTATCGAAAGATTAACGATGACCATATTAATATGTAGGTAAAGCAGTTAAGATGTTATTATGGTCATACATTTTGACTAATCTGGGTGCCTATAATTATGAACTTAGTAATAAAGGTTTTTATTAATAGTTTTTCTTAATAGTAAATAACAATTTATGAAGACGTTAAAAATATACTTTTCAGAATACAGGCATAGAAGTTATTTTTTTTTTTTATTGATTGAAGGAACCACAAACAAGTTTACAATTTACAATAAGCAAGGAACCACAAACAAGTGTACAATAAGCTTATTTGGCGCTTTTATGGAAACCTAGGGAAAACTTTAGTAGAGAGTAAATAGATATAAAGCAATTAGTTTAGTACAAGAACATTGCATGTGTTCTAGTATCTAAGTAAATATAAATACGTATAACGTTGCGGGTGTAAATACGATAAGTGTATCCAAGGATTATGGAATTGGATTTTAACATTTAATACAATTGTGAGTGCAAACCAAGCACCAATGTATTTTCACATGCTCGTTTCAATCTGCCGGAATGGTGGATCGTGAAGTCGACTGTAGGCGGATTTGCCTTTGGAACGACGTTAAATGTACTAATGGTCACTGAGACTGTGATGTGTACATGTATATTGTACATAATAGCCTAGCTGTGCCCGCGCCTTCGTACGCGTAAAAATCCTTGAAATATTTTTTCCGTTTTGCAACATTTTTCATTGATACTCTGCTCGTATTGGCCAATAGCCTTTCTCAATAAATGGGCTATCCAATACAAAAAGTAACTGGTCGTAAAGTAAACGCAAATGTGGTCGCCCCAAGCAAACTTGGCGGCGCACTGTAGCAGACAAGGCGAAGAAAATCAGCAAGACTTGGAGCGAGATCAAACGCGAAGCTCAAGACCGAACGCGATGGAGGACTGTTGTAGACGCCATGTGCCCAGGCATTCAAACGAAACAGTTATCCAGGTTCATACAGTTGCAATATGACACAAGTGAGGATAAATTAGCATGACACCATGATAAGTTTATACTTCCAAAACAAACAAAAACTAGCCCGTAAATCCTTGCACCAGGGTCAAAATCACCTACGCAATTAGGATTAAGTCACGTGTATTTCGGTAGCCCAGGTACACCTTATCTCACAGATTACACTGTTTGCATTCCGTTAGTTGTTCGTTTACGACTACAAATACCTGACTTACTTACCTAATTAAAATTCCGAATTTAACAGCATATTAGCTAGTTTGTTCTCATTAGTAATGGAGTGGTACCTATCTTTTTGGCAAAACAACACAACATGTTAAGCACAGGAGCTACAAAAATAACACAGAAAATAAATTAGACCACTATCTGTCTTTATTTCGTCATCATTGAAAACATACTTGCAGTTTGCTAAAATGATCGGATAGAAGCAAGCCCACATTTACAGCAATAAAGAATTAGCAAAACGTCGACAATGTCACGAACACCTAGACTTCGGGTTTCGATGATTGTGTTTTTATTTACCTAGTTCTTATTATCAGTAATTTAATATCGGGATCTTTGACATCTTCACCCCATATGGGTACAGGACTACAAAACCTCAGTCCTGGGACCGCAATTAGAAGAAGTATTGGTCAATATGGACATCAAATGTGGAGACAAATGATCAAAAAACATTGAACCCTACTAAAAAATTATATCTGCACCACAATCTGTTTCTAGCCTAGTTTTGTGGAAACTATTTAAGTGGAATTATTATGTCAAATATCTGCGATAAAGCCGTGGAAAAATCTCACGGAATTTTTTGGTTAGATGTAATTAAATAAATAATAAATAGTTAGCTAAATAAGTGTGTGAGCGAGCTTCATCCGAATTCAACCTTCAGTCTGATGATTATTATCCATTAGGTGTAAAATGCTGGCCTAGAGCTTCCAGACCTCAAAGATATCAATACTTATGTAAAAACTTAAAAAAGCTACTCCGACACAAGCTATGCTTAGTGCAGAAGCCGCTTGTTATAAGAATATTTTGTATTAAGATTAATTGGCAATAAACATTTTATTTATTTATTATTCTCCGTAGTGAGTAAAAAACGCATTTCATCATCATCATTTCAGCCATAGGATGTCCACTGCTGAACATCTCCCCCAATGATTTCCACAATGGCCGGTTGGTGGTGGCCTGCATCTAGCGCCTTGCTGCTACTTTTATGAAGTCGTCGGTCCACCTTGTGGGTGGAAAACGCATTTACCCTAAAAGAATTTACGGAACTTATCCTACCACTGCAACTCCTGTATAGCCAGGATCTACAGTTTGCCTCCAATGAATCCCAACCAGTGAAGGTTGCGTAGCCCCGGCCGATAGCTAACTCACACCCGTATACAAACGATGCTTGCTTAAGTGAAGCAGCAAATCGAACGCACAGCGTTGAATACAGTTCTGTGATTGGTTCGTGTGTGACCGTGTTCGTCTACGCGCACTGTGAGACCTCATAGTAATGTTTAAATACGCATTAGAACCCATAACTAATACTCTCATAGAACGTGACAACGTAGTAGAGAAAATGAAATCTGTGTTTTTGGTTTCACTTCACTGATAAAGAGCTCTGACTGCGGCTCTACATTGACCTACGTCATGTCAGAGAGGATTAGGTCGTAGACACTTCGGTGCACAAACAAACACATTGTGTTCTCATAGCAATGTGTTTACTATGCGCGTCACAGCGTTATCAACCGGCATTGCAGACTTGCCTAAAACGCAACTGGTAACATGTTCACATTTAAAACTATTTTGTAATTGCCATGATAATTACACTTTAGTTTTACAGATTTTGCATTAAAAACTTTTCAATAGAAAAGATCACCTCAGATAAGTTGAGCTACGGAGTCAGTACCTGCCGCAGTCATCAGTCGAAAAATCATGTCTTGAATGTTAAAACCTAATTATCTATACTTAGTTTTATTTATTTTAGCCTAGAATGGATAATTATGTCTGTTAATTATCTTATTTTATTTTTTAACAAATGAACTGACTACGTTTACGCTAATAAATACCGTGAACTTATTATTAGTTAATTAACTTCAATACAATTACAAATCATAATAACGTTAAATTAAGAAGATAAATATTTTTAGTAAGTATGTTTAACAGGAAAATCATGTTGATTATGTGATAAGATGTTACATTTGTGTAATCAAGATTGTTTGATCGTTGTTTCCATGTTGTCACTTCTGTGGGCATAAATAAACATGCGTGAGTAATTAAAAAATATTTTAACATGCAATTGCGTGTAATAAAAGATCTTAGAGCTCTAAAAGAAGGAAACTCAGCAGTTATTTAAAGCAAAAATCTACCTACCTATTTGTAAATACTTTAATATTATATAATTACTTGTTATTAGTAGAACTTCATGTTATGTTAGTAGGGGGAAGGT